TAACACCAAATCTAACTCCTGAGGCACATATAAATCGGATAACGACAGCAGCGTACTCTACGCTAGCAAAAGTTAGAACGTCATTCAGAAACCTAAGTAAGGAGGCATTCAGAGCGCTTTACACTGCCTACGTGAGACCAGTCTTAGAGTATGCAGCCCCATCATGGAGCCCCCACCTGAAGAAACACATTAGGAAACTGGAAAAGGTTCAGAAATTTGCGACGAGGCTCGTCCCAGAGTTGCATGGGATGGGATATGAAGAGCGACTGAAGGAACTGAACCTGACGACGTTAGAAAAAAGGAGGGAGCGGGGAGATATGATAGCAGCATACAAAATACTTAGGGGGATTGACAGAGTGGAAATAGACGAAATGTTCACACGGAATACCAACAGAACAAGGGGACATGGGTGGAAGCTGGAAACTCAGATGAGTCATAGAGATGTTAGAAAGTTTTCTTTTAGCGTGAGAGTAGTGGGGAAATGGAATGAACTAAAGGAGCACATTGTGGAAGCAAACACTATTCATAGCTTTAAAACTAGGTATGATAGAGAAGTAGGACAGGAGTCATTGCTTTAAACAACCGAAGGCTAGAAAGGCGGGATCCAAGAGCCAACGCTCGATCCTGCAGGCACAAATAGGTGAGTACAGAGATACCAGAGGGCCAGAAATGGGCACCTCAGTGGGAGGAGAGAAGCAGAGAGGCAGTTTGAAAATGACATCAAATAAAGCCAAGACCCAACCCAAACTGCTATACGGTCACATCAGGAGGAAAACGACAGTGAAAGAGCAGGATGATGAAATTAAAAAAGGGAGAGGATGGGTACACTTTAGAAAATGACTAAGAGGTGTGTGAAGAACTCAACAATATATTCCAGGAGGTTTTCACAATGGAGCAAGGGAAACGCCCTGAACTAAGAGGTGTGGCGATATACCAAGCATACTTGGAAGATATAGAAATTACCAAAGATGACGTTAGGAGCTATCTGCTTGATCTAGAAGTGACGACTAAGGCTGTTCAAACTGATGGAATCTCACCATGGATGCTAAAAGAGAGGACAGAAGCACTTTGCATGCCACTATCTATGGCCTATAACAAGTCACTGGAAACGGGAGACCTACCAGAGAGTTCAAAGACAGCTAACGTAGTCCCAATCTACAAAAAGAGGGAGAGGCAGGAGGTCTAAAGCAACAGGCGGTGTCCTTAACTTGTATACCATGCAAGGTGATGGAGAAGATCGTGAGAAAATGGCTGGTAGCATAACAGGAGAGAGAAGTGACTTTGTAACAGGTCACCAGCAGCACCCATGGGCAGGCAAGTCGTGTCTCACAGGTTTAATAGAATTCTATGATCAAGCAACAAGCATTAAGCAAGAAAAAGAAGGATAGGCAGACTGCAATAGTTCTAAGAAACTGTTGCATAAGTTGGAGAAACAAGCAGGAGTAAGGGTAGGGTGCTCCAATGGATAAGGGAGTAACCTAAACAACAGGAAGCAGAGTTACGGTGAGGAGTGAGACCTCAGACTGGCATGATGTCACCAGCGGAGTCCCGCAGGGTTCTGTACTCGGACCTTGTGGGAATTTTCCCAACAAGTATTTCTTAGCATTGTTATTAGATAATTAAATGGGCTGTACAAGTGGACTGTATTAATATTTAGCTACTTGTCAGATGTTTCCACTTCCACAAAATTGGGGGGTTGACTTTCTAATACTAAACTTGAAATTGAAATATAATTAATTAAATGAATTAGTTAGTAGGCTACACTACTATGGGTTAATGGTGAGACCCTTGAGGCTTAGCTGGAACGACGAATCACAGACGAGGTCACGAGGACAGTATGAGGCTACAGGATGACCTGGACAGACAGAAGGAATGGTCCAACAAATAGCTACTAGAGTTTAACTCGACCAAGTGCAAAATAATGAAGATAGGCGTAGGGAGTGCAGGAGGCCAAACACAAGGTAAAGCTGGGAAAGGAAATCCTACAGGAGTCAGGACGAGAGAAAGATCTTGAGGTTGATATCACACCAGACCTGTCCCCTGTAGCCCACTTTGAAAGGATAAGATCAGTGGCATATGGAAGGCTGGCGAACATAAGAACTGCCTTCAGAAACTAGTGTTAGGAATCATTCAGAACCTTGTATACCTCATATGGCTGACCAATACTGGAATATGCGGCTCCAGCGTGGAGTCTACATCTAGTTAAACACAAAACGAAATTAGAAAAAGTTCAGAGGTATGCCAACAGGCTAGTCCCCGAGCTGAGAGGAATGAGCTGTGAGGAAAGATTACTGGAACTGAACCTCCCGACGCTGGAAGACAGAAGTTAGGGGAGACATGATCACTACCTACACAATTCTCAGTGGAATTGACAGGGTAGATAAAGATAAACTGTTTAACACGGGTGGTACGTGAACAAGAGGTCACAGCTGGAAACTGAGTACCCAAATGAGCCACAGGGACGTTAGAAAGAACTTTTTCAGTGTCATAGTAGTTAACAGATGGAATGCATTGGGCAGAGATGTGGTGGAGGCTGACTCCATACACAGTTTTAAATGTAGATATGATAGAGCCCAGTAGGCTCAGGAATCTGTACACCAGTTGATTGACAGTTGAGAGGCGGGACCAAAGAGCCAAAGCTCAACCCCCGCAAGGACAATTAGGTGAGTACACACGGGGGTGGGAGGTGGCTGAGCATACAGCGCGCTAGACTCGTGGTCCTAGGGAACGGGGTTCGATTCCCCGGCTGAAAAAACAAATGGGCAGAGATTCCTTCACTCTGATGCCCCTGTTACCTAGCAGCAAATAGGTACCTGGGAGGTAGACAGCTGCTACGGGCTGCTTCCTAGGGTGTGTGTGTGTAAGGGGGGGGGAGAAGTAGTTAGATCAAGTTCAAGTATGTTTATTGAGATAAGAAAGAAATACATATCAAAGGGATAGAGTAGCTTAGGCTATTTCTACCCCCCCTCAAGTAGTTACCAACAGTTGATTGACAGTTGAGAGGCGGGCCGAAAAAGCAGAGCTCAACCCGCGCAAGCACAACTAGGTGAGTACACGCGCGCGCTAGAGGATGGAAGCAAGAGGCTACAAGATGACCTAGACAAACTGAAGTCCAACAAATTAATACTAAAATTCAACTCAAGTAAAGTGTAAACTAGGCGGAGGGAACAGGAGGCCAGATACAGGGTACCAACTGGGAGACTAAGTCCTCCACGAAACGGACAGACAAAGATCTAGGAGTTGATATCACACCGAACCTGTCTTCAGAAGCCCACATAAAAAACAAATATCATCAGCGACATATGCGAGGCTGGTTAACATCAGAACTGCTATTATAATTTGTCTAAGGAATCATTTAGAATATTTATTTAATATTTTGTTTGATTTTGTTTGTAAATAATTCTATGAGACGCGAGAAGGCATTTTTTTTATCATATACAGTCATCTGACTGCTTGTTTTAAGATTATTTTATTGATAAATTAAGATCTGTTGATGTGGCAAATGTCCCATTTTCTAAGAATAGCCACGAAATCAGAATTTCTTTGAATGAATACCGGTATACATAAGCCAGCATGGCTATATACCGGTATACATAAGCCAGCATGGCTATATACCGGTATACATAAGCCAGCATGGCTATATACCGGTATACATAAGCCAGCATGGCTATATACCGGTATACATAAGCCAGCATGGCTATATACCGGTATACATAAGCCAGCATGGCTATATACCGGTATACATAAACCAGCATGGCTATATACCGGTATACATAAGCCAGCATGGCTATATACCGGTATACATAAGCCAGCATGACTATATACCGGTATACATAAGCCAGCATGGCTATATACCGGTATACATAAGCCAGTAAGGCTATATACCGGTATACATAAGCCAGCAAGGCTATATACCGGTATACATAAGCCAGCATGGCTATATACCGGTATACATACGGCAGCATGGTTATATACCGGTATACATAAGCCAGCATGGCTGTATACCGGTATACATAAGCCAGCATGGCTATATACCGGTATACATAAGCCAGCATGGCTACCGGTATACATAAGCCAGCATGGCATAATATCGGAGGGACGTAGAGATAGAGGGAAGATAGCCGGCCAGACATTTCGCAGGGCATGGTTATCCGTGTATGATGTAGGCCTGGGCGATGACCGGGCCGCGGGGACGCTAAGCTCCGAAACCATCATAAGGTAATCCCAAGGAATGTAGTCAAGTTCAAAGTCAAGTATGTTTATTGAGACAAGAAAATACATCTCAAAGGGCTAGAGTAGCTTAGGCTATTTCTACCCCTCACAGGTAAGTCGTCTGCATGGTAAACCTGGTTTACTGTTTATACCAGGCAGAAAGGTGTGAAGAAAAAAATGAGGATAAATGAATTATAATCATGGCGGACGTGTCTACGATGAGCATGACAGTAAAGACACATTTATGAACCAAGGTGGACGAAGGTGAGGGATGCTGCCAGGTGGAGGCAAACCACCAAGGTCTGGGACATTTAAGATATTTTGCCTTGCCTTCACAACCGGATGTTAAAAATGTTGAGACTTACCTCAGTCAGTCTAAGAGGACCACAAGGATAATCTGGGGCACACTAGAGATAGTCATCTCTGAGTTAACATGCACACATCCCTGGTGTGGAGCTAGAAGCGGCACAACACGGGCCTACCACCTCAATCATGGCGTCGCCACCGCCCTCTCGCCCGCTCATTCATAATTTATTTATTTATTTATTTATTTATTTATTTATTTATTTATATATATACAAGAAGGTACATTGGGTTTGTGAGAATACATTGGATAGTACAGTATTTACATAATACTTTATAAACATCCCCTACATTTTAGTGCATATTAGACATAGTATAGTATACTAGTATGTAATAAAATTACGTATATTTATCTGATGCTGGGAATAATGACATTTATAAATAGGCTACGTATATGGCTGGAGCAAGTTACACTGAAGTCCTTATCACTCCCAGCGTGTATACGCAATAATTGAACTACGCAATATTTCACCCACGGTGTTATTGTCACCCACGGTGTTATTGTCACCCACGGTGTTATTGTCACCCACGATGTTATTGTCACCCACGGTGTTATTATCACCAATGTTGTTATTGTCACCCACGGTGTTATTGTCACCCACGGTGTTATTATCACCAATGTTGTTATTGTCACCCACGGTGTTATTGTCACCCACGGTGTTATTGTCACCCACGGTGTTATTGTCACCCACGGTGTTATTGTCACCCACGGTGTTATTGTCACCCACGATGTTATTGTCACCCACGGTGTTATTATCACCAATGTTGTTATTGTCACCCACGGTGTTATTGTCACCCACGGTGTTATTATCACCAATGTTGTTATTGTCACCCACGGTGTTATTGTCACCCACGGTGTTATTGTCACCAATGTTGTTATTGTCACCCACGGTGTTATTGTCACCCACGGTGTTATTGTCACCCACGGTGTTATTGTCACCCACGGTGTTATTGTCACCCACGGTGTTATTGTCACCCACGGTGTTATTGTCACCAATGTTGTTATTGTCACCCACGGTGTTATTGTCACCCACGGTGTTATTGTCACCCACGGTGTTATTGTCACCCACGATGTTATTGTCACCCACGGTGTTATTATCACCAATGTTGTTATTGTCACCCACGGTGTTATTGTCACCCACGGTGTTATTGTCACCCACGGTGTTATTATCACCCACGATGTTATTGTCACCCACGGTGTTATTGTCACCCACGATGTTATTGTCACCCACGGTGTTATTATCACCAATGTTGTTATTGTCACCCACGGTGTTATTGTCACCCACGGTGTTATTGTCACCCACGGTGTTATTATCACCAATGTTGTTATTGTCACCCACGGTGTTATTGTCACCCACGGTGTTATTATCACCAATGTTGTTATTGTCACCCACGGTGTTATTGTCACCCACGGTGTTATTGTCACCCACGGTGTTATTGTCACCAATGTTGTTATTGTCACCCACGGTGTTATTGTCACCCACGGTGTTATTGTCACCCACGGTGTTATTGTCACCCACGGTGTTATTGTCACCCACGGTGTTATTGTCACCCACGGTGTTATTGTCACCAATGTTGTTATTGTCACCCACGGTGTTATTGTCACCCACGGTGTTATTGTCACCCACGGTGTTATTGTCACCATTGTTATTGTCACCCACGGTGTTATTGTCACCCACGGTGTTATTGTCACCCACGGTGTTATTGTCACCCACGGTGTTATTGTCACCCACGGTGTTATTGTCACCCACGGTGTTATTGTCACCCACGGTGTTATTGTCACACACGGTGTTATTGTCACCCACGGTGTTATTGTCACCAGTGTTGTTATTGTCACCCACGGTGTTATTGTCACCCACGGTGTTATTGTCACCCACGGTGTTATTGTCACCCACGGTGTTATTGTCACCAGTGTTGTTATTGTCACCCACGGTGTTATTGTCACCCACGGTGTTATTGTCACCCACGGTGCTATTGTCACCCACGGTGTTATTGTCACCCACGGTGTTATTGTCACCCATGGTGCTATTGTCACCCAACACAACAAATGGTACACCCACTCTACACAACAAATGGTACATGCCCACTCTACACAACACATGGTACACACCCACTCTACACAACACATGGTACACACCCACTCTACACAACACATGGTACACGCCCACTCTACACAACACATGGTACATGCCCACTCTACACAACACATGGTACACACCCACTCTACACAACACATGGTACATGCCCACTCTACACAACACATGGTACACACCCACTCTACACAACACATGGTACACACCCACTCTACACAACACATGGTACACACCCACTCTACACAACACATGGTACACACCCACTCTACACAACACATGGTACACACCCACTCTACACAACACATGGTACACACCCACTCTACACAACACATGGTACACGCCCACTCTACACAACAAATGGTACACACACCCACTCTACACAACACATGGTACACGCCCACTCTACACAAGTGGTACACACTCACTCTACACAACAAATGGTACACGCCCACTCTACACAAGTGGTACACGCCCACTCTACACAACAAATGGTACATGCCCACTCTACACAAGTGGTACACACCCACTCTACACAACACATGGTACACGCCCACTCTACACAACAAATGGTACACACACCCACTCTACACAACACATGGTACACGCCCACTCTACACAAGTGGTACACACTCACTCTACACAACAAATGGTACACGCCCACTCTACACAAGTGGTACACGCCCACTCTACACAACAAATGGTACACGCCCACTCTACACAAGTGGTACACACCCACTCTACACAACACATGGTACACGCCCACTCTACACAAGTGGTACACGCCCACCCTACACAACAAACGGTACACGCAACATGCGGCAATATAATACATTCCTCACGGAGTGCTCTTTGTTGACATTGTGAATTTGGTGTGACGGATACCCTTTATTTTACACCCATTACCTTTCAGCGTAACACTACCAGTAAACCAGTAACAGCCCCGGTGACATCCTTGGTGTTACGCTATGTTCATTTCCGTCTTAAAAAATATAGATACAGTAATATGTTGACTCTATGATACACTATGTAAAAGACACATCGAACACTTTATGTAACATCGAACACTTTATGTAGGGTAGACGTAACTCTGTGTATCTATATATTTGTGTCTGTAGGTTAGATTAGTGATTTAAAAGCACTACAATCACCTTCTGTGGATGATTGTTCAATAAATCCCTGAACTATATGTTTAACACATCTCTCACCCTGTCCATGGAGGACAGAAGAAAATGTATATATGCTGGTTAGCATTGTAAATGTCTGGCCACGTCTGTGGCCACACATTTTTTTAGAAAGGGGAAAAAAACTCCCGACTTTTGCAATAATCCCTGACAATTTTTTTATATAATGATAATAATAATAATAATAATAATAATAATAATAATAATAATAATAAAATTATTATTATTATTATTATTATTATTATTATTATTATTATTATGCCAGATTTTTGTCACCCGGTATCGAACTTTCCCCAAAACTGATGTCCTTCTGAAGATAAGGTCTCCATGATTGGAAACAGTAGTCCAGAGGTGCCCACCAGACTTGTGCAGCTAAATCACCACTTTCTGTTCCTTGAAGACAAAAACTTTGGATACGCTCTTCAGATGTCGGTTAGTCCTTTTTCAAGTCAACTTAGTCGAGCATATAGTTATACAGTTTTCTTATCCTTTTATTACTTAGGTTAAAACTAAAATATATTCTTACAAGTACTGTATAAACGTGGGTTATATTTAAAATGTATTTATATGCTTTGAATAAAAAAAATGAAAGAATCAATTAAGTCGAGAAGATCGCTGTACAGAAAATACTTAAAGACTCCTATCACTCCTATCCGCGTACGGTACAGAATGTACAAGAACAATTTACAAAAAAACTTAGGGAAACAAAGAGACAGTACAGCAAACTGGAAAGGAATTAATGCACACGCGCGAGAAGACAACTTTCTGGGTTCTCTGCACAACCTACGAAAGACCAATTCTTAAGTATGCAGCCCAGACTTGGAACACTCATTTGTTCAAATACAACATCAAATATTGTTAAAAAAATATGCACGCGGGTCGTTCCTGAACAACGAGGATAAATTAAAGGATCCAAACCGCACCAGACCAGAGGGGAAGTTACAGACTTGATAACAACATTCCAAAACGAATTGACGCTCGACCCAGCAAGCACATTAACCTTTATGGTCAATGTGCTTGCTTTTAATGTGACCTTTTAATAGCACACACACACACACAGGGCCTCGCGGTTAAGTGGACAGTGCTTGAGGGTCATAGTCCTAAGCGCCCGGGTTTGATTCCCGGCCGAGGCAGAAATAAATTGGCAGTTTGTTTAACCTGATGTCTCTGTTCATGTAGCAGCAAACAAGTACCTGGGAGTTAGAAAGCTGCTACGGGCTGCTTCCTGGGGATGTGTGCGTGTGTTAAGGGAGAAATAAATGTATAGTAGACATAATAGAGGAAAAAATAGATCGGTTAGAAAGACTGGGTCCAAGAGCTAATAGCTCGATTCAGCAGGAAAATATAGTAAATGAACACACACACGCACAGCGGGAGAGGGGACAGGGGAGAGAAGAAGGGGGGGGGGAAAGAAATATTTTCAAATATTTCTTTATAAATTGGTTTAGTCCAATTAATGTTTTTTTATATTATTTTAATAACACGAATTACTGACTTAGGTTAGGTTAGGCTAGGTAGGTTAGGTTAAGTAGGTTACGTTAGGTAGGTTACGTTAGGTAGGTTAGGTTTTAAGTAGATTAGGATTGATCAAATTTCAATTAGCTATATATATATATATATATATATATATATATATATATATATATATATATATATATATATATATATATTAATATATATATATATATATATATATATATATATATATATATATATATATATATATATATATATAATATATATATATATATATATATATATATATAAATATATATATATATATATATATATATATATATATATATATATATATATATATATATATATATATATATATATATATATATATATATATAACTTATACTTAATAATACTATATATATAGCATACTTAATGAAGACTAAAGTATACCTCTCTGAACACCATAGCGCCCACACGGCACATATTTCTGGCGTTGTTATGTTGTAATTAGCGAAACATGAACGTAAATTAAGTCTGAACTAATGGTTGGAGGTAGCTACCTACCTCTCGGCTGGGGTTGACAACACGTGACGCAAAAACACCTGTCTTGTCTGCAGGACACAGATCACGAATATAATCAGTGGCAACAAAAGACTATTCAGGTTTCAGGGAGTGAAGAGTGAGGGTAAAATTTAGAGTCGATCTTTGAAGAATATCAGGGTGGAGTATCAGGGCAGCCGCCGTGACACGTCCGGCACGCGTGACGGCCCAGGCGGGACTGTCACTCTCAACCCTTGCCGCCCATTCTCCCTCCTGGTCGGTTAGTATACCGTTATTCCTGCTGTCACCACACCACTTACCTGCTGCCACCGCACCACTTACCTGCTGCCACCACACCACTTACCTCCTGCCACCACACCACTTACCTCCTGCCACCACACCACTTACCTCCTGCCACCACACTACTTACCTCCTGCCACCACACCACTTACCTGCTGCCACCACACCACTTACCTGCTGCCACCACACCACTTACCTGCTGCCACCACACTCTACCTCCTGCCACCACACTCTACCTGCTGCCACCACACCACTTACCTGCTGCCACCACACCACTTACCTGCTGCCACCACACCACTTACCTGCTGCTACCACACCACTTACCTGTTGCCACCACACTCTACCTGCTGCCACCACACTCTACCTGCTGCCACCACACCACTTACCTGCTGCCACCACACCACTTACTTGCTGCCACCACATCACTTACTTGCTGCCACCACACCACTTACCTGCTGCCACCACACCACTTACTTGCTGCCACCACACCACTTACCTGCTGCCACCACACCACTTACCTGCTGCCACCACACCACTTGCTGCCATCACATCACTTACCTGCTGCCACCACACCACTTACCTGTCCGTGGAGGACAGAAGAAAATGTATATATGCTAGTTGGCATTGTAAATGTGTGGCCACGTCTGTGGTAGAAAATAATAATAATAATATAAAAAAAACTTACCTGCTGGCACCACACCTCTTTTCTACCATTTAAATTCACAAATATCCAAGTTATCCACCCCTCACCCGAAACATTGCATGTACCAAGGAAAACAAGTCTCTGGCCTACAACATAAAGTAGGCGCGGTACTCCTTGCTGAGTTGCGTCCCCAGGCGTGGGGAGCTCCCGCTTGATACTCACCCCCTCCACGAACACACACCACCACCATCACTCGAAATTGCGCTCAAATGTTATTTAAAATCTCAAATTATATCAGTTGAACTTTTAGAACATATGCGCAGGGATTATGGATGGATTCAGCAAGCAGCCACTCATATTAATGTGTTTGGGTTGAGCAATTTATGCAAAGATGAAAAATTCGAGCACTTCCTGTCATCCCGGTAGGTAACACTTTTTGACATCAAAAAACTAATCATACACAACCCTCTTGCTCTGTTTGCTGCTAAATTAAATTATACCCTAGAACACGTAAACAATTTACAAATTGAAAGCAATATCACACAGACCATGTACACAGACGGATCTCTCAATGCAGCTACAGGAACAGTGGGAAGGGACGTTCATTATTGTTCATCAGCACGACGGTAACACAAGTGAAGGGAATGTAAGCGTCAGTAATTGGGCATCCATCTTACATGTTGAACTGTTGGCTCTTCTTGTAGGACTCAACATTATTGGAGACTGCAGTAGACAACTTAATTATGTCCTGCTCTCTTTCTTCATTATTAGCATTAAATAGCTTACAACCAAATTGTAAAGTG